TGTCTGGCAGGGGGACTGGGTGATGAAAGGAGAAGGGAGCCCTGCCTCTGGGTTTCTCTTTGGAGTTTTAACTCAAACTCTATCTCAAGCTGCTTCTTCCATTCTTGCTTTCCATGTTTAGGTCAGTCCATTTTAATCCTACCCCTTTGAGAGACCCCAGTTCCCAACATTCTGTGGGTTCTTGTTTACCAAAGCTGCGAATTAAGCTATATTGATGTGTCTACTTGTGCATTAGCTGTTGTGGGCAAAGAAGAAATATTAGTTTAACTGGGGTAAAATTAAAAACAAAAAACTACAGTCCCAAGAAAAATAAATCAGGGAGAGACAGAAAGAAACTGGATAATGTGGGATCATTTCACTGTGAGTCAATCCTGGTGGGGTTGCTTTTCCCCCTGGTAACTATAAAGAATGGCAAAGAGATCCTAACATATCAGAGTTCACATTCCAATGGACAGATTTGGACTTTTAAAATTATTAATTTGATTTAACTGCTCAGGAGGCAGCCAAAGAATAAGTGTAGAGAAGAATAAAATGGGTGATAAAATTTTTCTTCCTTTCTTTCCCTCCAGTGCTTGGCATTAGAACAGCCCTGTGTCTACCACATGCACAGTCATTTTCCATGACTAATGGGAATAATGTACTACATTTCATAATACTGATCTCTTTGGACATATCAGAAAAACTCTTAACTCGATAGCTACACTTGCTATCTAAAAATACTTACCACAACAAACCCTCAACAAAATTTCCTTTTAAAAAAAAACCCAAACTTTTAAGAGACTTTCTAGAGAAGCAAAGAAATTTCGCAGAATGCTAAAAAAAAAAAAAAACTGCCCGCCCTTTCTCCTTCCCTGTTTTGGGTAACCACTTAATCCTCTCAGATGTTTTCTCCTGCTGAATGCTTGTCTTACGTGCAGTTTAAGATGGTATTTAAAATTGCCAAAATTCCTTCCACAATCGTATCCCTGTTTCCCCTAAAAATGGGCTCAAACTGATGTTGGAAACTGGCACAGATGTTAGAAATTCCATCCTTTTTTCAGGAAAGGACCGAGTATGAGTGAGATAATGTCCCTTCTGGCAAATTCTTATTTCCTCCCCAACTCTGGATGTAATTGTCAGCATGTCCATCAGCGTGGGTGGACACTGCGTTCAACTTGCCTGCATATCACTGCCTAAGAGTTTCATGGAGATCTTCAAATGCTCAGAATGTCTGTAAAAATTATCTTCAATCAGGGTGAGTACTTGCAGCATTTTCTATTCTGAATCGAGGGTAACACTTTGCTCTGAAAACACAGTCAGCCAAAAACACAGCCAGCCAGTGCAACTAACGCCATGCAGAAGATTATAAAATCGAGAAATTAAAGCTGGATGTATATCCCCATAAGTCACAAACACATGTAGGTGACAGTAGCTATCAAATGCTAAGCCAAAACTTTTTCAACTTTTATAATTCATTTTTATACATTGCTTATCAAAATGATCTGCAAGGGAATAACTAAGTCATCGATATTCAAATACACAACCTAATGTCCTGAATTAGCCAGTAATATTTTGCTGCAAATCAAATAATTTTGGAAAATCACCTGTGTATCCACCTAAGAGATGGCATGTGTACTCATCTGGCTCATTTTCACCATGATTAGTGCCACACTCAGGAGCTGCATCCGACAACTGTCTTCAACATTTCACACCCTGCTGAGTGGCTGCTTTCTTGCTGGAGAGAGTTTTAAAACTTATAACCAGAAGTTTCCATTTCTGGTGTTCACCAAGGTTAATAAACAACTTCTTCTAAATCAAGAATTAGATTTTATTTGAAAGTATAAAATTAAAACATAAGATACTGTTGAAAATAAAGCACCGTGAATGTTTATGAAGATAAATCCTTAAGAAAAGCATTCACCAAAACATACCAGTCCAGGTTGCCTTACTTCTACTAATATGGAAAATATATTTTAAGTCCTCAAATTACTTTGATTTTCTAAACTCATCCCAAATCTCCTCTAGAAGTGTTGCCCAAACAGCTTACATAATGCTTTACATTTTATCCAGTGATAGTTCCACAGTGGCCAAACTAGAGAGTGCACATTTAAAACAAGGCCTTATAAGATACGAGTTAGAGATGTCTCAATGTTGCTGATAGTCTTTATAGGTAATGCCAATACTGGCCAGGGGTCAGGGGTTAACAGGAGCAGAAAGGTCATGAACCATTCTTAACTAAAGCCAAGGACACAATAAAAAACACTAACTATCCCTGAGAAGAACAAAAATACTCCACAGAAGTTAACTTTCGATGCAGTCTTCGTAAGTACCGAGACTGACTTCCATAAAACAAACACCCAAACCAGCCTCATTATTCACCGTCATACCTCATGTGTCTGTCAACATAAATGTAATATATAGCAGTTCTCTTATGACGAAATGTATGTGAATAGAAACTAGTTTTTATTATAATCATGACAATTATTTTACCAAGTCACTAACTGAACCCCAAATGAAAGCCGTTATGAACGAAAATGTCAGTAAACCTAGACATTAAGATGTAAAAAAATTCTTGCAATCTTTAAACACTATGCAATATGAAGATTGATATCTTAACCATTTTGAAAGAGATTAAAGTTTCTCCTCTAATAAATTACATAAAAACCTCACTAAAATAACTAGGAAAAATACAAGTTCCACCATAAAATTTAGTTCCTATTCAATCCACCGCAGGAGAATTCCATCTCAAGCTCTAGTTCACAAAATTCCAAATCAAGAGGCCGACAGCTCATTTCGCGGCTGAAGGCAACCTCCGCACTGCATTTTCTTGACGATGGCTGATGCAGACGGCACCTCACAACTACAGAAGAATGGTTGCTCGGATTAAATGCTGCAAACGTAGTTTCAAAATCACACACTCGAGTTTCAGCGCATTAAAGGTGGACCTGAAAAGCATTTGCCACGTTACGCCTGGTTCCAGCAGAATTTCAGTGGGTGAGGACTACAGGACAGCACAGACCCCAAACCGTCCTTATATAGAACTACCCTGAAAGATAAGCACACAAATATCAACACCCACGGGCCCAGGCGCTGGCCTGCGCATTCAAGGCCTGACCCCTACACTACTCTGTCACTAATGCGAAACAAGGCAGAGCCGTCAGGCCCTTCTGGAGGTCTCCATCCTGCACTACTAGAAGAAGGAGCCATCTTTGAACAGCGCGGTCTCATCTTTCAAAAGCAAGATATTGCAGACACGGAATTTTCAAGATGGTGATGAATTCACAAGACAAATTATTTATTATGTGAGATAACTGAAATATACTTTAAATGACCCATTTTCTATAAAAGGACGTTTATTTTCAACATGGCAATATTTCATAATCAGACACCCTCCTACAAAGATTTTTTTCTGTGGACATAAAACTCCTAGTTTTTTCCTAATTAAAGTAAGTGATAGAAAAATGCAGGGTGGTTGCAATACTAGAGCAAATTTAATAAACTTAATGCGCAGCTTAATCTTAAATCACAGAACACCGGCCCGGCAAGAAGCACACTAGATGTTTCCCAATTAGTAGTAATTGGTCAATTAGGCTTTTTTTTTTTTTTTTAGTAAATGAACTTTGGGTGTTAAACATATTTTTCTCTATTGGTTTACATTAATATTAAAATTAGAGAGAATTTTTAAATAATGATGTATATAAACTATCAATTGTATTTAGTAAGTCTGAGCTGAAATCATCAGCAAAGCAAGAGGAACAGAATGACAATATAAAATATTTTAACTTTCACAGTTGGAAAGTGGCTAGCAGCTGAAAGCTCTACAAAAATAAATTAAAGCAAAAAGTTGTCATAAATGGAGCTTTGCATTCTGCCAGTCAAAAAAGGGATCCATTTTGTTGTGAAATATACCAGCGTTCTCTGATGTCAAACTTGAATTTCCACTATTCTTTCTATTATAAAAATCAGTCTTAATAACAACGTTTATGTAAACACCGTTTACTTCCATTTACATCTCATTACTGGCTGTTTATCCCACTACATTTTGATATGTTTGTGAAACTCACAGCATCCATGCAGCAGCGCTGGGGGGGGAGTCTGTTCTGTTTCACGAGGTTGACTTCGTTGTACTGGTGTGTGTTTCTCCAGTTTCCTCAGTTTCCCCCGAGCACTCACCCTTCATGTGACTATACTTAAAGTAGTTTTGAGGACTTCACGACAAGCTGAAGGGAAACCCTTAGGAGAACAAACATCCTTCAAACCAACCAATATTCTAGGCCTCACACTGTCGAACAAACGCTCGGAAGGAGGAACGCAACGTCACCGCTTTACTTTTGTGTCCCCGGCTGGGCTGAAACAGTTTCTAAGGGCCCGTGGACCACCCCAACCTACTCACGCGCTGGGAAAATGCGACACCCAAGTCGCACGGGAATGGCGAGATGCTAACTTTAATGGAAAAACGGTGGCGCGGCGGCGAACTCCTCTCAAGGGCCTTCTTGAAATGTGTAAACACGTCTTACAGGGCAAAGCAAAACATGTTGTTTAGAAACACACACCACCCTTTTCACCCTGTGGTATTGGCTGACTTCAGGGGTACCATTAAGAGCCACTTCTCGGTGGCGGCATTTTACTTATACACTCTCACGCGCGCGCGTGCACACACTCACGCACAGTTTTCCATACATTCCAGCGGCCTCTTGGGACCAGAAAGATGAAATACAGACTCTGGTCCATTTCCCCATAATTTGAGCTACCTTAGTCCAAAATAACCAGTAACATCCCTCAAGACGTGGAAAAGGGGATAAGGAAAACCAAAATTACTTTCCCCGAATAACTCGGCTTCCCTGTCCCCAAGCTCACAAATACCCAGAATGACGCCGACTCGGCCCGGAGAGTGGGCAGGAAAAGTTCAAACGCAAGGCGGCCGGGCAAAGTTGAGCAAGGGCTTGGGGAGATGAAGCCACAGAAGGGGGAGTCCGGGCGTGTACCTTTGCGAACCCCCGCACCCAGCTGCCTCCACTTACTTTTGGATGATCTGGGGTAGACCAGCTGGGGGCGGGGGCGGGGGCGGCGGCGGCTGCATCCCTCGCGGGCCCGGGGCTGTGGGCGCCGGGGCACCGGGCACGCTGCGGGCATCTCTGTCCGGTTGCTCGGAGCCGCTAGGGTCGGCGTCCTGGCTCATGGCTGCGGCCAGCACCGGGTGAAGCGAGAGCTGCCCCGGCTCGCGGCAAGAGAGCGCGCGCGAGGGGCGGCCCCGGGGCACGGGCGCTCACTGGCCGGGGTCCCAGTGCCCAGTCCCCTTGTCCTTCCCGGTGGCGCGGGGAGGAGACGCGAGGGGCGGGGAAGAGGCTGTCCCGGCGGCGCCGCCTCCTCTTCCTCCAGCCGCTCCGCTAGTCCGACACAACCACTCCTTGGTGGGGGTTAGGGGGCGTCTCCTGGCCGGCAAGAACCGCTCGGGGCCCGGAGTTCACTTGGAGTCCAGGTGGTCCGGGAAGCTCCGGCGCAGGGAGCCAGGAGAGAGTGCAGGCGAGCGCCACCGCGACCGTTCGCCCGCAGGGTCCCAGGTCCGGCGCTCCGCACCGCGGAGCAACCGCGTGAGGCGGCCAGGCGCACGCCAGCCCGCCGCCGGCAGCTGAGCTCTCGCTTCTGCCCGTGGCCCGCTTCTCCCGGCTGCCCCGGAGACCGCGTGCGCGGCCTCGCGCGATCCTGCCAAGCGGGGCGGACCGAGCGCGCCCGGGGCGTCCGCGCGCATCGGGGAAGCGAAGTGCACCCGGCCTGGCACCTTTCAGCGTCTGGCGCCCAGCCAGCGCCACTCCCGGCCAAGAGGTCCCACCCCGCGAGTGGAAAGCCCGGACACCCCCCGCCCCAGGTTGATGGGACTTGCAACTCCCGACTCTTAAATGACCAGGCCCGAGAGCTCTCCAAACTCTTATTTCCAGCTGCTGATTTCAGGGGTCCCCAGAAGCAGATGGTGGGGCCGCTGTGGTTTGTTTTCTTTCCACCCCGTCTCTTCTCTAAAACACCCGCCACAGTCCCGCGAGTGCAGAGACTTTAAGCATATTTTTAAATTTTTTTTGTTATCTGTTGGTGAAATCTTCTATGGAAATGCGAAGAATGAAAAGAAGAGAGTTTGCCGACTTCGCACCGTCACCATCCGCGCCTCTGTGAAGCTCCGTTGGTTGCCCCGGCGCGGGTGTGCGCCAGTTCACCAGTGCACACCGGTTCACAGCCTGGGGCTCCCGCGCCGTGTCCGGAGAAGACACTCCGGCACGAAGCCGCTTACCGTCCTGGCGCGGTTGGGGAAGTACCTGGTACCGAAGAAACATCTAAGACCCTGGAAGTCACCCAGGAGATTCTTAGTATTCTGCGGGCTCAAGGGATTTCTAAATCCTGAAACTCTGCAGCCTCGGGAAGCAAGGACAATTGTTCCTGGAGTGCTTTGGAAATCAGAGCGCATGCCAGGGTGGCCCGAGACCTGGGAAGAAGTTTGCTGAGGGGTCTCAAACCCACCCGTCCTCCTCTCGCAGCCACGTGGAGGAAAGTTCTGGATAAGGCTTCTCTGGGACCTGAGGAATGATGCTTCCTTCTCTTTCTAGACTGAGTTCCCAGTCAACTTCCCTGCCAGCCTCAGGAAACTACGCCTCCCTTGAATTGCATCATCCTACCTGGATCTTTCCCGCCCAGTCCCTCCTCTCTCCCTCTCTTTCTTTCCTTCCTTCTACAGATTAAAAAAAAAAAGGGGGGGGGGAGTTGCATCAATTTCTTGGGTTCATAAAGATCGTCGCCATCCGCAAAATTGAGTCTCACCAAAAGCCCAGGTGAAGAGATAGTGATTGTTGACTCCATTTCACAAATGAGGAGATGGCAGAGTGGACAAACCAGTCCCACCCTGTGATTTGTAGCAAACACAGCTAGGAGGAGGCTGCCTCAAATGAGTTTCCTCAGGCTCTCTGAACATTTAGTTCAGCATCTTTAGTCTCTATCACTAAAGTCCGGGCTGTGGCTTCCATAAAAGTCTGCCTTCCGCTCCTCGAGCCTCCTTGGTCGTGGGAAATTATCTGAAATTAACATTGCAACTCCCCTAGATATTAAAACTAAAATCTTCCTTGTGCCTGCATTAAAATCTCCCTCTGAGAATCCTCCAAAATCTTTGCAAAACGGCTTTGCGTGCAAGAAGACAGATCTGTTTTTACCCTGCAGAGTGACTCAAGCTCTGTGAGTACCAGTGGCCAGACTGGTAAATTGGGAGCAGTGAGACCCTGGTTTACACATTCCCTGTTGAGATTAGAGACATGTATCTTGCATATTGGGTGGAGGAGGCATTCAATCTGACACTTTCTACAAACATGATTCTTTATATTCCAACCTTGAAGCCAAATAGTGCAACAGATCTCACACTCCAGAAAACTGACTCCCTGAAAGTGACTATGTTTATATAATTAAATCCATCACCATAACGTTTTTTACTGGCCCAAAACAAAACAAACCCAACTCAGCCTCTGTTGTATAAACGAGGCTCTCTACACCTCAAAGGTAATGGATTAGCATGTGCCACAAAATAACAAGAGTGGTTGAATCTAGATAGTCACTGAGCTTTTCTTGCATTCTTTCTGTACGTTTGAAATTTTCAAAGTAAAAAAATGGAAAAATTAAGAATTCACAAGGTGTTTTTCAGATATCCCATTTTCATGTTTACAGCTTAATCTCCGCAATTGTGTAACAATTGCACACAATTGTTACTCTGCTGTAACAACGCAAACGTGAGTTGAAGCAGGGTCAGAGGGGGGAGGGTCACTGCTGCAAAAACCTCAGATAGTTCATGCCCTACCCCACGCCCCTACAAAGTGAAAATACTGAACAAGCAGTTCCACTTTGCAAATCAAACATTAGATATATTAAACAGTCCCAATAAAAAAATTTAGCTTCTGTTTCCTTACTTCTTTCCAGGAAGGAGGCAAAACATCCCTCTGTAGCCGAGGTTGCAGTCAGGTGAAAAACTGTCTTGCCTTTGTCTACCCTGGGCCTTCACCACCCCCTTGACCCTGGGGTGCCTTCCCAGTTACTGAAGTGAGAGAAAGACTATGTGAGCCACTGGACTTGCCGAATACGGAGTGGCACCAGGTGGTGAGGGCAGCTAACATTTCTGTTTCAGTCTGCAGAAGAATCCCTGCCTTTCAGACCCACCAGTAAACCTGTGGTCAGTCAGGCAGGGAGGCTTTGCTGTCTACGTACGAATAAACTGAACGTTTAATAGGAGTCAGCTGCTAAGTGTTTTTTTTTTATAGATTATTACTTACTTCATGCTCACAATAACCCCATGAGGCAGCTACTGTTATCCATGGTTTAGAATCTCAGGCACAGGTAGCTATCAGAACTTGGCCCAGTTCACCTGGTTTTCAGGGACAGAAGCGGGACCTCAGTTCCCTTCACTGCCTTAGTGGTAGATATGAGCTGACCCCATCTGTCTTCTGTGCTGTGGTTCTGCCTGCACCTTCCAGTGGCTGTAAAATGCCACCTGCGCTGTGACTCGGCTCTGCCACTCATTTCTACCCTGATCAGTACATTTACAGGAAGCCTCCAAATGCATCTTACAAATAAGGAAATCCAAAAGAAATTCAGCAGACTGGCAGGAGGTGGTAGGAAGGAGCAGGAAATAGACCCCAGGTCTCCATTTCTACTAGGGTCACTCTCATGCTTTTAAGTCTCTGGCACCCTGGTGAGTTTTATAAGGTTAATAAATGTTAACTGGTTTTTAGGCACTGGTTCTAGGGGTTTTCTTGTGCCTTATTTCACTTACTATCACCATTTTGCAGACAGAGAAGCCCGAGGAACCTGTCCAAGGTCCCAGGGGCGATAAACTGAAGCCCAGGTTCAGACCCTGGTCTGACTCCCTGGGACCACTGCCCTCTGTTCAGACGGGAACCAGCCCACAGAGCACGGTGCTTGTGAGCGTTTATCTCTACGGATAAGCTCACTTAGTGAGCAAACTGCTCACCAGCACTGCTGTTTCACGTATGTATGTTGTTACTATCGTTCTTTTAAATAATCGTTTACTTAGTAAATTGTAAAGTTTGATGCTATGCAGAGCCACTGGTGAGACTGTGGGATACAGACATTCTCACGCACTGTGGGTGCACGTGCCAGTTGCTGCAGCCACGTGGAAAGTGAGTCAGCACTGTCTATGAAAAGTGCAACAAATAAAACTGACTCAGCAGTTACCCTTCTAGGAATGTATCCTATGGGTTAATTGGTAGCAAAAACTAGAAACAACTGGTTATATAAAAAAGGTCCCTACATACAAGGGAATGCAACACAGCTCTTGAGAAGAAGCTCTGAGGAGAAGGGAGTTGCTGATGTGGCTCAGTGGATTGAGTGCCACTCTGTCGAACCAAAAGGTCTCCAGTTCAATTCCCAGTCAGGGCACATGCCTGGTTGCAGGCCAGGTTCCCTGTTGGGCAACTGATGGGTGATCTTCTCAAACAATCATGTTTCTCTTCCTCTCTGTCTCCCTCCCTCCCTGTCTCTCTAAAACTAAGTAAATAAAATCTTTTAAAAATAAAAGGAACAAGGGGGTCTATACTGAGGATAGATTTCCAAGATGTATTCTTAAGGAGAAAATGCACACTTAACAACAGTACTGCAGTATGATTAAATCAAACAGCATAAAACATTTCTGGAAAATTATACAAGTAACTAGTTATTAACATTCATTACCTCTGGAAATTAGGATGGGGCAGGAACCATTTCCTATTTTGACCTTTTATATTGTTCAACTACATAATATTTCTTATTTAATCCTAACAACCACATGACGTGGTTATTTTATGCCCACGTTACAGGTAAGAAAACGAGGACTCAAAGAAATTCAGCCACCCAGCCAGTGGCTAAGTGGAGGAGCTGCAGATACGACCCCAATCTTGATCACAGTTAGGGTGGAGTTCCATAACCACTGGTGTGGCGTTTCTTGATGTCACGGGGTTCGGAGACCAGACGCCTCTCTGCTGACTGCCAGCTGGTTTGACCCTCTCTGCTGTTTCCCGTATCTCAGCCCTCGGTGTCCTGCGTGTCCACAAGACCCAGCTTCTCTCTTCCCTCCCCTCTCTCAGAGCTACAGCACAATCTTTTACTTGAACTCCACGAAACCCCTGTAGGTGTTTTAAAACAATCATAAAGTAGAGTCCTGTGGTGGCTTCACAAAGGATTGCCTCTCTGAAAACCCAGGAGAGAGAGTGACGGAAGGATGCTGTTTAAAAATAATGTGGTTACTCATGGAACTGGATGCACATTTGAATTTGAAGGAGACAGTCAGGGAACTTTAGCTGAGGAAAACTGAGGACATGACCCATGAGGTTCTTTTCTGCCTAACGACTGGTCTTTATTGGCTGCAGGGGCGGGCACAGCCTCCATCTCTCTGGTCGTGCATTTATCAGCCAGGCCCCCTGTTCTCTACTGAGCAGCGTAGGTATTGGGTTATAATCACAGTAGCAGTTGACTGGGAGTCAGAAAACCTGGGTTCTGCATCACAAGGTACATGCAATATCCCTGAAGAGAAAAGCAGTTATCCCAGTTCAGGAGTGACACCAACCAGCACC